AAAAGTGAATATGCTCATATATACAGAATGGTACTTCCTCACGATAGTCTCTTAGCCTCCGACACTTTTAAACCTATTTTAACAGCAAGAGCGAAAAAAATAAAGCAACTTTAAGGCCACAGAATATGACAGCAAGCATTAGGGTTGTTATGACCAAAATATTTAGATCAGAGAGGATAGGTCCAGTGTCATATGTACTTAGCAGGCTTCGGCTGATAAGCTCTCCTTCCAACGGAGTTTGCTCAAGTTTTTACGAATGAATTCAAGATTCTGGGAAAAAATCTGAAATGACGACGATGATAGTTGCATAGCAGAAGCAACTCAGAACTTGGATGAGAGGTGAAATCGAGTCAAAACATAGCTGCGCTGATAAAATCGTGTCAAAATTTAGATTGGTTTAAAAGCGGGCCAAAGCCTAGCTGAGTGATTAAAATCAAATCGAATCAGCACTAAATGGATCGAATCAGCACTAATGAGTCAAATCGAATCAGCACTAAATGGTCGAATAAATTCGAAAGTAAAGCGATTCGAGATATTTAAAGGTGTATGAAAAAAAAGAGCTTAAATGTGTGGTAAAACTGAATCATAATTTAAGTGTGTACAAAAGTGAGAAAAATTTAGATGATTGGTAAAAATGAGTCAACTTTAATTGCGAGGCAAAACTGAATCAAAGTTACAAGGCAGATGAAGAACTAAATTAAAATTTGCCTGTGAAGTAAAAACGAATCAAGGTTTAACCCACAGTAATGAGCTAAAGTATAGCTAATTGCGAGAAAGTAAACAACCGTTGGAACTGTTTCCGAAGAGCTGCGCACATACATCGAACAGGCGGTAAGTACTGAGTGGAAATATGAAATCCAGGAACGAAAGGCTTAGTGCAGCCGCGTCCGGCTACAAGAACATCCCAGTAACATTACTAGTATGAAACATATATACTGATTGCCTGGAGACTACTGGTATACTTGGATATATGCTAGTTTTTTAGCTGCAGCTTTAGGATAAATACTTTTTTCAAATTTTATGCGTGGCAGTCCATTGACTTTAACCTTTTCGCATCGAATTTTCTCGATATTTGTCGAAAATGAGGGATTTTGAACAAACAGCTGCCGTTAAGATGTATGTATGCGTATATGACTGATCGAAAGGCAATTTGTCCATTGAAATTTGAATTCAACATCCTCGTTGCTCATGAGTTGTTTACTTAACGACAAAGGGGCAAAGGGCGGTCGTGGTCAGCGGAGGGTGTTGGTAAATAGCAACCGTATTATACGTCAATGGTTGGAGGAGGTAGGAACCGGTACAGCCAGCGGTACAAATTTTCACGGATGTCACTGCTCCTCGCAATCACAGCTATTGCATTTACAGGTTAATTTTGGATCGAGTTTGAGTTTTCAGTTGATTAAATTAAAACCTAATTTAAGTATTCATTCTGCTTTTTTTAGTTTCAGATTTAAATAGTTACTCACTTGATTAATTTCAGATCTAATTGAAGTATTCGATCACGTTAGCATAAATGATTATTGTGAGATAAAATCTCGTATGATTCAAGCTTCTTGCCCACTAAAATGTGTACGAAATGCGCTTTTTTGTAATTAAAATGTCTGTTTTATCAGACCATGGGTGTCTTTTGTACTTTTTACTTGTGTTTTTTACTCTCCCTTTCCCCTCCCCCCTCCTCTCTCCTCTCCCCGCTCTCCCTCCCTGCTCTCCTTGTTTTTCTTTCTCAGTTTTTTGCTTAATTTGATCCGTAATCTGCTGTAGGCCTTATTTCAGCAGCGAATGGATGCATGCCGTTCGATTATGAAACAATAGCTCAAAATGTGGCGT